ACCCTTGTGGTGAACTGAACAGCTCGGCAGTGGTCACAGCCCCAAGCCTGACAGAGCTCAAAGAGAGTTTGGCCAATGCACTCTCAGGGACAGATTTTTGGGGCTGTACAGGGTCAGGAGTTGGACTCGATGACCCTTGTGGGTCCCTTCCAACTGGGAATATTCTGTGATCCTGTGAAATCCTGGTTTGCCTCCAAGAGTGGCACCGAGTTAAAGCCCTGCAGCCAGTGGCATCCCTGGTGCTCACTACTGTGAGTTAATTCTTAGTTTGGCCAATGCACTCTCAGGGACAGATTTTTGGGGCTGTACAGGGTCAGGAGTTGGACTCGATGACCCTTGTGGGTCCCTTCCAACTGGGAATATTCTGTGATCCTGTGAAATCCTGGTTTGCCTCCAAGAGTGGCACCGAGTTAAAGCCCTGCAGCCAGTGGCATCCCTGGTGCTCACTACTGTGAGTTAATTCTTTGTAGGGAGCAACTGATGGCACTGAGGCCAATACACCTACCTTACACAGAGTATTAACTAAGGAGTAGTACTGCTCAGGCAGCCACTACAGCTGGGATTGGGGACAAAATCCAAGGATACAGCAAAAGGCTGTGGCAGTGGGTTAACAGGAATACAGACTATTACAACATGTTTAACAAATCCACTTCAGCACAATAATCAAAGATTTCTTTGCCGTTCCAAATTGATTATTTCTGGGGCTTTTAATCCAATAAAAAATCATAGCAGAGACCAAATTAGTCAAATTGGCATCGCTGCAAATGCTACTCATATTCCCAGAGCTGCAATCAAACTGATCAATACTAATTTCTGTCATTATTTCACATGCTCCTTAGAACATTACCAGACTCACACTGCCAAGTCTCCAAGTTTGTACTTGGATGTGTTTGTACTTATTTTTTAATCTTCCTCATTGTCTCTCCATTTCCTGAAGCATTCTACCCAAAACCAAGAAAAATCAACTTAAATGCCTTAATTCCTCTCTTTCAGGGCTTAATGAACATGGTGGAGCTCAGATCCTATTTTTAGTCATCACCTCAGAGCAAAGGGTGTCCTCAGACTATTATTTCCAGTCTGAACCCAAGGGGGATTTTTGTATCAAGGACAATAGTGATATTTCTTTCTTCTACAGTACTTTTATTTTCAGTGGATCTCACAGCACTTGATAAAGTTATCTTCATACCCTCAGACACTGAAACAACAAGAGATGCAAGATCCCAACAATCATGGTAAATGTTTAAGTCGTAACATAAGCAAAGCCTGATAGGATAAATAGTGGAAAACCTATTTGCATGTCCCATTTTGCAGCTGCTGAGCACCAAGAAATGCAGAAGAGTTGTCTGATGCAAAAAAAAACCTTCTCATCCAAACAATATACAAACTCACAGCAAAGAGCTGGCTGAGGTTTTAGCAATGCAAACACAGGATAAGGAGTATGGAATTTGTTGGCTGCATGGCTGGAGCTGCTGTTCTACTTGATGAATTTAGTTTTATTGTGACTGCTCTAGAATCTAAATTAAACCTTCTAACCTTGTCCTTCTAAACTGAGATGCAGCAGCAGCTCCAAATCCAGACAATTAGAACTGCTCCTCACTAGCCAGATGAGAAAAGGACTAAACTGGGCAAGGACCTCACTGAGCAAGTGCCACTTCTACCACTACTCTGAGTGGTAGCAACCCCAAACCTCCTCCAAACTATTCCTTACAGATTGTTGGTTGCAGGCTGGGAGAGCTTGGTTAAAAGGGGTATGAATTTTGGGAAGGCTCATTAGGTTAATAATTCCCCACATGCTTTTTGGTGCATTATGTTTTAATTGCAGTGTTTAACACTCCTTAAGCTGAGTATTTTCTGTACAAAAGGTTTAAAGCCCTCCAAATTTGTTATTTTCAAGAGTAATACCCTAACAAGTTATATCCTAAAGGGTCCTAGCATAGACTGTCTATAATTCAGTTCTCTCTACAAGTACAACCACTGTGTATAGACAGATATGCATTTCCCTGTCTGACCTTATCAGAGTTCATATTTTTCACCACAGACACTGCATTTTACTGTGTCTGTGCTGCTGCACCTGGATGTGGCCTCATCTCTCCAAACATAACCAAAGTGGACAGTCTGTGGCATTTACTGTGTGAATCTTTCACACTCCTTCACCCAACGTTGCACTGCATTCTCCTATGGACCAGGAAGGATCTTGGAGCTGTGATAAACCTGTTTGGCAAAACATTCTTCCATAAGCAAATTACTTTCACCTGCATCAAGGAAAGTTTCACAGCCAAACTTCTTTAGAAGACTTTGAGTTTTCACTGCAATTTTACTTCTGCAAGGATTATCAAGCCCTGTCCTGTGTGCAGAACCACTACTCACTGAGCTCATTCCATGGGGAGAGGCAGGAAGAACTTCTGAAACCCTGTAATGAGTTTAAGCTGTTTCCCTGCAATATTCCAGCTCTCATATGCATCCTGGGGAAAGCAGATGCAAAGCAGCTTCCAAGTATGCTCAGCCTTCAGTAGAGATGAAGAGAAGATGGAAGACAAGAACATTTGCTTGTGCTCACTTAAAGGTTCTATTCTCTAACTCTTCATCCACAGCAGAGAACAGGGAAGTTAGAGCTCAGGGCAGGTTTGAGGTCCTTCTACACCAAGCAAATTGGGACTTTGCTTATCTTAGCAATGAGGTTTGGTAATCAGCCTCTAACTTACAAATTAGAAACCCACAAATAGAGCTGAAGGAAACCTTTGGAAAAAACTAGCCATGACAATCTTTTAAATGCTTCAAGATAAAGCAGCACAAAATTACACACAAACCACTGGGATTCTCCTCTGTGGGAAAAATAAATCCTGTCCTATTAATCAGCAAGTGGAATTCCCCTACCTTTATGAAAAATGATAAAATCAGGAAGGACCCATGTGTACATAGCTGGGCTGGTAATGTGCAGCAGGTTTGAAATGACCATAACACATGATATGCAGAAAGAGAAGGACATTTAAGGTATGATTTATTCAGACCTTCTTCTGTCTCAGCTAGCAGGAAGGTGTGATGTGAATTTGAGACTGATATGGACTCTACAAGAACAACATCATCTCTGATAGAAAAGATTAGGCTAAAATAAACCTTTAAACAAAAAGTAGACATAGAAGAAACAATAATTTGTAAAGAAAGCAGAAAACAGCACATTATTTTCCTCAAGGAATGAATTTTCCCTGCAGCTTCTTAGGTATAGGACAGTAAAAACTGATACAAAAGACAACATCTAAATGCTTTAATGGAGCAACTTGGAGACCACAGAGTCAAACTCTTCTCTATAGGAGGAGATTCAGAGCCACCTGCACCTTAAGCTACGTTTTCTTGACACTAACTTTATTTTCAGAGCCTGGTTACTCTCAATTTTTCACTTTAAATAATGAAACGTAAGTTTATAAAACACTGGGCAAGGATTTCCAGAATCCTGACTGGGATTGGTGTTGCCAGCACTGAACTGAAGCTAATAATCAAGCCCACAGCACATGTCTTGCAGTGGTGGCTGCTGGGGCAAATCAAACCTGCTGAGGACAGTTCTTTGCCTTCACATCCCAAACTCAAAATCTCACACTGCAACAAATCCCAGACAGGCTTTGAAAGCAATAAAACTGATCCTTCCAGGCTGCTCTGACAGCCCTCAGAAAGAGCTGCTTGGCAAGACCTACTGGGATGAAATTCATCAAGTCACATATGACAACAGTGAAAGGAACAAAAGGATCTTTCAGATGCTGAGGGATCTGTTATTCTGTCAGCAGTGCTCAGCCTCTTTCAGCAGCACAATTCTTTTCCAAAGTGCAATATTATCCATCCAAAAAATCCAGATTCGAAGTATGTGAATGCTTGAATAATCAGGACTAAAATCTTTGCAGAAAAGATTGAATGAGAGAGAAATTTCAACTGTCAAAAGTGACTCCAAACTACACTTAGAATAATGAGGTAGAAGGGACTGTGGGCAAAGGCAGAGGAGATCCAAGATAAAATGCCTAGATAAAGCCAGGGTGGCTACAGATTCCTATTGGAGTCAGTAGCTTGGCTGGCAATAGTGAACCTTCCTTGAAAGTAAGTTTTCACTGCCATAAAGCCATGAGAAACATCAGAAAATGTTTAGAAGTTTGGGGTTTTTCAATCCAGCTTGAGGGATCTAAAATAAAAGTTTCACATACTTCTACACTGCCCTAGAACAAGTGCAGGGTATCAACTCAGCCTGTTTTGAAGCAAAGATCAGCTGCTTAGAGGTGTTGTTGTCCTCCCAAGGAAATGGAAGGAACAGCAGTAGTGCAACATAGACCCAAACCCACAAAAACAGCTTAAATAACAGAAAAATTGAGCCACACATACTCCCTGCTAGTAGGTCCTTGTTAGAGATTCAAACAACACTTTCTGGCCACAATATTCTAACCCAACATGCTCCACCATTATAGTTAAACCATTTTTTTTCTTGGTTTGGGAGATAAAATGCCTCAGGAATTACACCCTGTTCCCCCTCCCTCCCTGAATAAAACTGAAATGGTATAAACCCATGAAAAACAGTTTCATGGAGATACCTATAAAAGTGCCTTGACAACAAATCTTGGTCACATGATGCACAGACCATAAAAATAACTGTTTACTGTAAAAAAATCCTCAGCAGAAAGTATCTTGGTGTATAAAAAGAGAAAAACATCTATTTTATATAATCTGCTGTAGTTTTTCCTTCCAGTTTATATCCAATTTGGTGCTACAGCAAATCATTCACCAAGAAGATTTACTGTTGAAATACATCCTATATTTCCACAGTAGATCTTAATGTCAACTGTATTGGCAGAGAATTTCTAGCAATGAAATGTAGCATTTGCAGGATTTTAATTCTTTGGCATAAAATGTTTCTAAATCTGTGGAATAAAAATAAAATGTAAAAAACCAGGACTTTTATCAAGGGGAATAAAAGGTGTTAATAATAAAAGATAACAAGGCAGCAAGTGATTCTTCAGACATGATACCTTTAGACTCTTGTAGTATATAGTCCTGTTGATCTCCAAAGGAAACAGGTTCTGCTCCTTCCCTGAACGTGCCCAGTTTATATACCTGAGCCAATTGCCCTTCTCTGGGTCAGTGGCATCAACACACATCCAGCCCAGGTTTGGGTAATACACCTAGGAGAGACCAAAGTGGCATCAGGCAAAGGAACAGCTGTGAACACTGAGGTGTATGTGCACTAAACCACTCCCTTTGATAGCCACACAAAGTGGTTGTGATCATGGAAGGAGAGATGACACAAAGGACATGAGCAGAGGCTGCACTGGGGCAAAGTGTTGCTGCCCTTCTGCAGTCTGTTAGTGGAACTGGGACAACTGGGAAAAAATTACTATTGGCCTTCCTTCTCTGAAGGTTTTGGGCTCATTTTATGCTTTCTTTTCAGTCTGGCTAGCCTGAAATGATACTCTGAATTTTGCACTTAGCAAAATAACTGACTTTAAGGTATAAAGGCCACAGAGCTTTACTTTTACTTTGTGATGAGCTGGGAAGAAGTAACCCTAGAGAAGTTAGAAGCATTTGCTTTACCTGGAAAGATAAGGGAAAGCATAACTTATATTGAATCTTTCTTCAGGGTATAAAAGACCATCTTAACCTTTCAGAGATCTTGTGATCATCTTAAACTGACCACGTCAATCAACTCCTGCATGTTCTGAGATGCTGTGCACAGTCCTTGGTTTCTGCTCTTGAGGAAAAGTTTACCACCTACTCCTGACTCCCATTTGCTGACAGCCTGCAATAAAGCAAGAAGGGGACTGACATCCTCACTATGTTCTGATGACAGGCAACTCTGCTGCTCTTTCAAGACATGTTATGCATCTCCTACTCTCCTTGTAATCCAAGTTAGATGCCTGTAAGAAGAGCTACCAGTGAGTATTTTTCCTTCTTTGTTCTAAAAATCTACAATGCTGCAGTTTCCTCCTGTTGCACACTAGGAAACTCTGTAACAGCTGGATTGTAACTATCATTTCTCAACACAAACTGAAAATCCATCCCCCAAGAGCATTCCAAGTCCAGCACTGAGAAACACAACTGCAGGGTCAATAATTGACTTGACTGATTCAATCTCTCCAAATGTTCTTGCACCAGATCAGAACTGGAGATACCTTATGCAGTGCAGTTTGTGGTAACATTAGCTCAGTGCCATGAACATTACACTTGAATATTTTATTACTTTTCTAAATGTGAGTTTGCATTTGTCCTGGATCAATTCCTCTGATCGAGGTTAAATTTTGCATGTGTGTCCAGGGTTTTACCCAGTTCCATTCCAGCAGGCCCTGGGTCACAAGGATGGATGACTACCATCAGTATCTTTAGCCTAAAAATCTGTGAAGCAGCAAGTCCTGTTCCAGAACACACTGTGCCACAGTTCCTCCATCCCTCCCCTCCTTGACTATTCACTTGGCTAAAACCATGTGCTGTGTTTGTCTTCAAAAAGACTCAAGAAATTTTTGCAAGTAGTTATGAACTACCTTAAAGATACCACAGATAGGATTCAGCTCCAGCCTAAGACATCTCCATAATATCCAAGGTCTCCTGACTTTCCCTGGAGCTTACAGAGCTGTTCAGCTGTCCAGACAGCACTTGCCTCAAGGTAAGCCCAAACACAAGCAGCACAAGAAATACTGCAACAGTTGAGAACTCATAGAAACTCCAAAAGCAAACTCCATTCCCATAACAAAGGTGGTTTTCAAAGAGCTAACAGAGGAGTGCTGTGGTTTCCTTCAGAGATTCCAGAGCCTCCTAATTTCCCTAATTCCCTAAGCAGTTGAGGGCACCCAGTAGCAGAAGGGACAGCACTGGAGCCAACAAGAAAAAGCTCTATCAGCCATAGACTCTGAAGGAGGTGTGATCCAGGCACAGCACATAACAAGGTAATAGAGCAATTTCACACAGTGCCAATAGTTCTAAGCTTCCTAATTCAGAATTGTTGCCCAATCCAAGTGTCTATAAATAACTGTTAGTAATGGTAGGAAGAGATGGAAGTGACCTGACATCATGTCTGTTTCGACAATCTCTGGAAGAAGTAAAGGCTAAATACAAAATATTTTGTACACCTTTGCCCCTTTACTGGTTCTTACCTCCCACATGTACACATTGCTCTTCACTTGAGATCTTTTTTTCTTGTCGCCAACAAATGGTCCAAACTTCTTGCCTTTTAAAATTGATTTTGTTGCCCAGACACCTGAAGAGACACATATCAGGAGTTTAAACCAATCTAAGTTACTTAAAGCAAATTTTCATCTCACACTTGGGATTTACAACCACCACAGGTGTCTGTCTCAGCCTGGGGCGCTGTCCACTGTCCCAGAATGACTACAATGAACAAGACACCACCTCCACCCAGCACAGGAAGGCACCACACCTTCACAGCAACTGTAATTTAGGTGAGCTAGTGTCAAAATCTTCATTCTTTTCACAGCTGTGGCACTCACCAAGCCTTGTCTTGTCCACAGCAGATGGGAAGAGCCTCACGTCCTCAGGAAGGCCCCTAAGCACGTGCTCAGGTACATCATCCAAGGTCTCCACAGTGCCACCTCCACCCAGCACAGGAAGGCACCACACCTTCACAGCAACTGTAATTTAGGTGAGCTAGTGTCAAAATCTTCATTCTTTTCACAGCTGTGGCACTCACCAAGCCTTGTCTTGTCCACAGCAGATGGGAAGAGCCTCACGTCCTCAGGAAGGCCCCTAAGCACGTGCTCAGGTACATCATCCAAGGTCTCCACAGTGACAGGAGAGTCAGTTGTGTTCTACAAGTCAAAACCCAACCACCATTAACAGGTACAACGACTGCACAACAGCTGATCAACACACATGAGCTATGAAACCTCCTGACTTGAAATCAGAGGAAAATTTCCAAACTCACCACACTCAGGATAATTTCACATCTGTTAGCAACCATTTATTCCCCCCTTTCTAAGGATGACTTCCAGGCATACTCTGTCTAATCAGTCCCAAAAAGCAATGTAAAATAGTTTCTGGTCTTGCCTAATGTGAAAATATATAACTTGTAACAAAGACTAAATGGTAACTTTAGGAGAAAACCACACTCCTAAATCAACCCACAGCTCCGAACCCTTAGCCAGCAGGTTATAATAAACACAAAAGGTTTTAAGGTATTTTTATATTAAGGTTTGAAAGGCAATCAAAAGCTAATAAATGATTTACAAATGTCTAGTAAGTGATTAGTTCCATTTTAAGAAGCCTACAAGGTTCAATAGGTTGATTATAATGTTATTCATAGTTATTTGTATGACACAACAGTAAATGCTACTCACACTTGTCATCAAACAACTAGCTCCTTATTACTTAATTAACAAAACACTATTTCTGATAAAAACGAGCAGAATTTCAACGCTGTAAGCATGCAGTTTCCCTGAAAATGTGTCCACACTCTCACCAACCACAGTTCTGTCAGAACTAGGCATATATTGAACCACATGCCCTAAAAAAATCTACCTTTAATCACTCTGGTCAGGAGCAGAGACTGGTGGTGATGGCAGGAATGACTAATATTAAGGATGTTATACTTGAGCTCTGTTAGGAAGTGTTAAACTGAGAAATTTGCCTAGGAAAACCCCAACTTTTGGGAAATGATGCTTGCTTTTACCTATAACCATAAAGCAGAGATACAACAGTAGTTTACATATACTGAGTAATACTGAGAGCATTTTGTGGTGTGCTGATACTGGAAGTGTATTTGAAATGCATCTCCGTGTGCTATCAAATTTCAGGTTTTTATCTCTAAAGCAAAACAGATAAACTTCTCAGCCTTTGCTCCTCCACACTCACTCCTTGGGGGCTACAAGTGAGATTACAAGAACAAACCTTCTGCCAACTGCAACGACCAGAAAAAGGCTAAAAGTGGAGTCAGAGTAAGGTTATTCCAGTGCTGTCCTGGTAAGCCCTAACAGCTGCACAGAGAGATCCCAGAGAGCTATTTGTAGGGGAGAAAGACCCCAAAATTGGAAACCATGGAAGGAAGAGAATGCCAGAAATCCCTTCCCATCCAGGAGAGTGAAGAGACCAAGGAGGGGGGAAACACTTATTCATTAGTTGTAATAGCTGAAGCCTATTCAAAGCTGAGCAAAGTTTTATTTTGCTCTTCCAACCACCCGAAAAGAAAATTACTGCTGAGAGCAGCCTGATTTTCAGACATCTCTTGGCCTTGAACTGATATGCAAGAACCACAGCTCAGATGAGAAAGAAACACTCTTCTCAGCATGTCAAAGAAACCTAAACATCTCTGCAGCACATGATGCTCTGACTGCATTAGGGGAGAACCAAACCTGCTTCTCACCCTGGTTTCTAAGAAATTCCATGCAGGCAGAGATGAGGACTACAGAGCATGAAGAACAAGGCAGTTCTCAGAACAGAGCACTTCCAGTCTCAGGCTAAACCCAGGATGGGTTTTGGTTGGGTTTCACTATGGGCTTTGGTTTCTTTGGGGGGTTTTGGTTTCAGTTTGGGGTTTTAATGAGCAGTTAAAAGTCTTAAGTACTGCAAATTAACTTCAACCTTTCAAAACTTCAAAATCAGACTCAGCTGGTTCAGACAGAAGTGCACAGCACTGTGGTACATCCTCTGATGTTTCTGGCAGATTCCTCAAGAGTCACAACTCCTTTTAGCCACAAATATACCAAACCTGTTCTACCCTTAAAGAAGGTTTTTTGCATGGAGTGATGCACAATCTGCACTGGGCATCTACCTACACAGAGCAGAGACTATCAGGACATTGAGAGAACACAATACTCAGCCTCATCCAACACTTGTCATATGAATGGATGTCCTAAGTACTAGAAAACTGGCTATGGCCTAGTACACAGCAATACATTTCACACCTCAAACAAATGGTAATAAGTAACCAAACTCAAAACAGCAAAGTAACAACTCAGTTCAGTCAAATCAGTGCAATCTCCTTTTATCTGCAATTTGGATGGAGCTACTTGAAACATTTTCCAGATCACAACTTGTCCCCAAGGAGTGTCTGTCTACCAAAAGAAAGACAGTATTTCAATCACTTTTCCACCAACACATAACAACCTCATTTACATTTCTTTTCCTGCTTATAAGCTTCCCCCCCTGCTAAGGGCAGTGCACTGGGGCATGTCCTGCAGACAACTCTGGATTTGACTGAAGCCTTCGTATAGTATTTTTCACTCCCTCCAAGACTCCAGTTTTGAATACCAAAGCACCTGAAGCTTATTTCACCCTGAAGCTTCTTACTCTGAAGTTCATCAGAAATATTATGACATAGAATTCAAACGAGCCAGTCTGAAGTGACTTAAGAACAATGCCAAAAAATCATTGGAGGGCAGAGTGGTGCCTTAACTGAAACTATCTTTTCCTGTTTGCATCAAACCCAGAGTCCAATTACTCTGACAGTACCTTGCAACACACCAAGCAACTCTTCACACCACTTTCAATATAACTGTGCCTATGGACCAACCACTAATTAGTCTGCAGTGTCACAAACTGCCTTTAAGCGGAGTAGGAAGGGTCCTTGCAACAAAATGTTTGTAGATGATCAGAGATTAGAGCAAAAAGGAAAGAAACCACCCTGTACAGCGCAGTGAGTGACAGACACCCAGTTAGTTAGTATCATGTTTGGGTGGAAACAGGATTAGGGTAAGTGAAGAGATAAAGGGAAGGATGCAACTGGAGAGGGAGGGAGAGAGAGAAGTTAAAAGGTGGTGGAGAAAAGGTAATTGTGCCAACCAGCACAAGGAAGGTAAGGGGAAAGCAGAAAGGTCTCTCCTCGGCCAAGCAGCTCACCTGGCTACTTCTCTGTGCCACAGCTTTACTTTGTGTGCTTGAAAGTTATAGATGTATCAGAACTATCTGAAACAATCATTGAAAAATCGAGAAGGAATGAGGGGAGGGAGATCCAGTACAAGTGCAGGTGCAATTTGTTACCGTGTGCTCACGAGCATCTCCAGGCAGCAGCCAACTCCCTCCTGCTCCCACCGCAGCCTGAGACACAGCAAATGCTATCACCAAACCCGTGTGTGCTTGGGGTTTTGAAAATGAATTATTCAGTGTATTCTGATGAACTAGTTTACATATTAAAGGCAGATCTCCTGTCAAAACGGAGGACACACACTGCCTATCCTGAGCCAGCAATCTTCCAAGAAACCCAAAACCATCAATTCCAACAACAGCTGCTTTTTTTTGCTTTTAATCCTCCTTCTCCTTACTACAAGAAGGACATATCAAAGTATTTATGAAAAGGTTTTCCTCCACTCCTGCAAGATTTCTATGGGATAATCCAAACTAGCAGCCTTTTCACATAACCCAAATTAACACCAGCCCAGTTAGTTTCAGGGTCGCTGAAGTCACACCAAAAGCAGAGAAAAGCAGAATGAAAGAAATATGAGAACAGAACACTTGAGAGATGTTTGGCATCAGGCAAAAACATTTCTTATACAGACCTGGCACTACAACTTGTCAACAGTGAATGAAATGACAAGGGCACTGCAAGAAAAAACACCACAGGGTTGATGCTAAATACACACTGAATACGAATGGTAATCCAACAACAAAATGCCTTATGAGCTTTGGAAACTAAATGTGAGAGGCAGAAACACCAAGGAGGGCTCTGAGCTGCTCTAAGTGTTCCCAGGGGCAGGCCCAGCTCACTACTGAACTGTGAGATGACAATCACAGACAATATTAGCAGTGCTCACGAGAGAGGTGAAAACTTTTGATTGCAGCAGAGAAATCTTCATTCTAGAAACAGCTCAGGGTGAGGGAACACAACAGACAGGACATGAGGGGAGAGGGGCACACACATAGGGAGGAAATAGTGATAACAATTCGAGATTAGCATCTAGACTTTGCAGAATTTTAGCAGTATCTGAAGCTCATCAGGATGACTAACAGAGCAGGATTATCCCTCAAGCAGAGCACTAGGCTGCTCACTTGACGCTACTGAGTGCATCAAAACACATCTGACAGGCGAAGAAATGTCAAGTCTCAACAGAAATTGTGAGGCCACAGTTAACCTACTTACCCCAAAACAGACTAATGCTGCTTAGAAGTGTGACAGTGCAAATGTCATGTCTATTATAGGTATAATTGATATTTGTCTATAGATACAATACAAACACATCTTTTTACAATACCCATTTCAAGGCTCTGATAGAGATTATATTGTGCTTTTTACCTTTTTAGTATGTGCATATACATCAAAGACTTCTGACTTCAACTCAGAGAAGAAAAGGAAGAGAAAAGATCCCATCAACCCATTTCATAGTGGAATTACTTCTGTATAGACTTCTACAACTACAGGGAGAAAACACTTCAGCAAAGTGCTGACTGTGTCCAGGGCTGTGCTGATCAAACAGGGGCAGAAAGGGCAATGAAAGCAAACATAAGGCACAGCCATCAATAAAAATATACAAAGCATTTTCCATGACTCTGTCCTGGGATTGTTTCTGACTCATAAAGCTTCTCTTCACAGCCAACTTTAGCAAAGGAAAACGTGAAGGAAAAAAGTAAATGGTATTCCTGGAGTGTGATATCCTATGGTCACATTCCCACACCAAAGGGGCTCAGTAAGCTCAGCCAGAGAAGGACTTAGGAGAAAAATGTAAGGCAATATGTAATTCTACTGGAACTATCTTTCAGTAACACAACTGTGCACAACAGACAAACAGATGTACAACTCCTACTGGATAAACAAATGCAGAATAAAATGTTCTACACTTGGAACTGATTAAAACAACTCTTCAGTCAGGGTATTTGTGTA